AAAAGGAAATTCTGGGGCAGTTTTCCTTTTTGGGAAAGGTCCGGGCCTGGAAGGCCATTCCAGGTCCCTTGCCATTGGTTGTAATGGAAGGGCTGCGACTTCCGTCCGGATGTTCCGGAGTACGCACCCGGGAGGTAGGTAAACGGACCGACTTTTGGAAAACAGGAATTCAGGGCCACGTAGGAATAAGGCGGCCCCAGACCAAGTGGAAACGGTCGGCCCATGACTTCTGCGGTGGCAAAATCCGTATGTGGGGTCTCGGAAGTTGCCTCCGAACTTCCAATACCGTTTGCCGCCGTCCTGTGCGGTCCTACCCTGAGTCATGTGTCGGTCCACTCAACCCGGAGTCCGCCCTGGAAAGGAGCGGGAATGGCGCTGCGGCTGCAACAGCTCGCGTGAGGTTCAACCAGGACAAACGCGGAAGAAAAAGGACAATTCAACGGCGGAAAAAAAAACACTCGGGGGGTTCTGGTTTTCTACACTTTTCAAGTGCAGCTCAAGCGTGCCCAGAGAGGTGACTTGAACAACGGGTAGCTTTGCTTGGGCCGCACTTGAGGCCGCCCTTGGGCTTTTCCTGGACGTTTGCTAAACATTAAAACTACCGGTAGGCTAATCACAGCCGGGGGCAAGGTCCAACTTGCGCAAATTAGGAGATTTCGGCCGTTGATCTTTGCTATCTACGGTCAGCATCTCTTAATCCGTGCAAGTGGGACCTCGTCCCGGAACGTGATCAGCGAAAGCCAAGGGCACGGTGGAACGGTGTTGAGCAAGAATTTCCTCGAGTTTCAAGTCGTGTGGAACGAGGCCCAGAGGCATACTCATAAAGACACCGAGAACCTCGTCATTTCGCAGTCAACGAACCGCCATGCAACCATAGAGCGTGGTATTTTTCTTCATGGCGTGTTTTTTTTTTATGGCGTGGTATTTTTATACGAACTCTACATGGCAATCCTCAGAGATGGAGTACATCCTCACCATACGAAAACTTCAAACAAAAAGAAACCCGCAAATCCTCCCATCAGCCAACGTCCTTTCTAAGCTTTCGGACTCCTCAAACAACAACAAATGCAAAGAAACCCAAGAAAAAAAAAAAAAGCAAAGAAACCAATTATTTCATCTTGACGGGCGAATAGTAACCCCGGACTTGACGCTTCCCAGAATGCGCATGCAGCCAGGGCCATAAGGGCCTATAAAAACGGGCTCTCTCCAAACAACCACAAATCCGAACATCCAGGTCGCAGTCCAAACCATTCCCCATATCTGTCTATGCCAGTTCACATACTGTCGAGCGCAACCGCCTTTTCCCGCCTCAGTGCTGTGTTGACCGAGCTGGCATCACCGGAGGAGTTTCTGAAACCCATAACCGAAGATTTTAGTTTCTGCATGCCAGCTATTAGTGTGTGTTCCCCTCTTCACCGAACCCTCGGCCGCCCTCCGTCGACAAGACAACACAGGCAAGCGCACACACGAAGCACAACAGACTACGGCAAGACAACACAGGCAGACGCACACGAAACACAACAGACTACGTCGACACCGGAAAACAATGTAGTGGCGAGTCCTCCCACGGACCATTGCGAAAGACTAAGGGCCTCGCTGCACTACTCTGGGGATGTGCAAAACGAGAGTGAATCTTCGCTAGACACATGGCGAGATACGCCCCCATGATTTTTGTCTTTCGTGCATGTCGAGAGTAGTGCAGCCATGCCCTAAGACCTCACCTGCCATGGATCATTGCGAAAGACCAAGGAGGAGCAGACTGATCTCACGAGATTGTGGTCAAAGCTAGCAGCGACCCAAAGTACAATTCCCACCAGCCAAATACAATTGTAGAGGGTGAAAGTCCTTTTACGGAAAGAATCATGAAGTAGAAACAAATCAAGCGATCGTAAATACCACCAACTGCCAATCAACCTCTTTTTTGTTAATACTACCACCCAGGTCAGCAATCAACCCGTCAGAGATGCCTAAACTGGCAGAATGTCAAACTTAGGGCGTTCACTACGTAGAAATGTGCGTTCAGGAAATACAGTCAATAGGCAACTCGCACACTCTTACATTTATTTTATTTTTTTCGCTCTTACATTGTTTTTTTTCGCACTCTTACATTTCAACTCGACAAGCGCTCAGATGTGAGCTGAGGACGGCGGCCGGCAAGGAATAAGCAAAACCGTCAAACTTAGGGCCTACACACACTCGCACCGTCGCCACAATTATGACCCGACCAGGATGTATGTGATCGCAATTACATCCAGACGTCCTGGTTCTACTGTGAGTGTATCCATCCGCTCGACAAACGCTACCCAGTGTGACGGCTAGACCTCCTGGACCGCTCTAATCTGAGGTCTCAAACGCGAGCCTGCAGAAATGGCCTTCGAGATTATTAGTGTATCTTTCGACACGAAATGTAGTTGCTGCGCAGTTCCCACAAAACGAGGGGACAAAGGAGACCGAGCCGGAATGAAACGCATCTACATATTTAAACGGAATGAAAAATGGGAACAGAACAACACGACCTATAGAGACCTTCCAGATCACGACAGTCAGATGTCAGCCCCACTAGAGAAAAGGGATAGAGCGAGAAAATCACAAAACGACAGGTAAAAGCGCAGCGGAGAACGCAGCACTCAATGATGATCAGACAAACTGGGAAGAAAAGCAGGGGAGAAGATGGAACAAGCGGGCACGAGAACTCGAAGAACTGTGGCGTAGACAGCAAGACGAGAGAGAGATAGAGAGAGGAGAAAACAGGAGATCACGAAAACAGATGCCATCGGGAAGAGTAGGGGTGGGGAGAGCACGAACACGGAGTGCAGAGAAGCAACAGCGCGGAGAGAGCGGAAGCGCGGGCAGCAGAGAGCGGGAAGCTAGAGTGAGAGGAAAGCAAGAGTGAGGGGAGAGCAAGAGTGAGGGGAAAGCAGGAGCACTGCACAGCTGGAGCATGGACACATCCAAAGCGGAGAGGAAGCAAAAGCGAGGAGAGTGCAGGAGAGAGGAGAGAGCAGGACCTGCAGTAGGGCAAGAGCCAATACAAAGTGAGAAACGGAAAAGAGCAAGCGAAGAAAGCGCCAAAGCGCAGGGGAGAGCACTACTGTAGCGCAGGGAGAGCAGCAGCACTGGCAAAGCTGGAGCACGGACAGATGGGAATCGCAGAGAGAGCAAGTGCGGGGAGAGCACGACAGGTAATAGGGCAAGAGCCGGAAAAGCGAGAACCGCGAGAGTGCAGGCGATGAGTGCGCCGGGGCGGAGGCGGAGCACGGAATAGCAGGGAGAGGGCTCGAGGGAAGGTGTCAAATGACAAGGGCAAGAACGAAGAGAACTTCCTGGGTGAGGGCAAGAGCCGATGGCAAGAGCGGAGGGCACGGGCAGAGAGCAAGGGAAGGGGAGGAGCAGGGGCAAGAACAGGGCCCAAAACCTGAGAGAGCAAAGCCGGAGGTCTAGCGAGGAGAGGCAAAGGGCAGGTAGCAGGGGGGAAGGAAGAGCCTAGAGGGAGCGAGACGGGGAAGAAAGCGCCAAGGGGAACGAGCCCGGAAAAACGGGAAACTGAGTGGGTCAGGAGGAAGGGGCAAGAGAACAGGGGGAGAGCCAGTGGGAAAGATAACAAGCGAGGTGGAGACTGCGGAAGAGCGGAGTGACTCCGGGACGGGGGACATACAGAGGGAGTGGAAAATAACTGGGGAAGAAATGGGCTGTGAAGGAGCCGGAGACAGCGATGCGGAAACTACAGAACGGGGAGGAGACTGCAGGAGTTAGGATAGATACTGTGAAACAGGGAGAGACACCGGGAAGAAGAAGAGTTAAGGAGCAAGGGGGACGGAGACAAGCACTCCCGGAGAGGGAGGAGAGGGAGAGGCAACGAGAGAGGGGAAGACAGCTGGAGGGGGAGAGAAGGGGGGGGGAATAGGGGGGAGACTGCAGGAAGGTGAAGCTCCGGGAAGGAAGGGAGAAAACGCTAGACCAAGGCAGGGACGAAGACCTCGGGAGGTAGCAGACACACCGGAATTAGGAGAGGACGGGCGCAGGTGACAGAGGAAGGAAAGGGAAAAATGTAAGTATGAGGCGGACCAGGAGAGCACCACGAGTCGAAAGGCCAGTTCAACGGGGATGAGAGGAAGGTGAGAACAGCAAGGCAGCACTAAATGGAATGAGATGGAACAGAAAGGAGAACGGGATCGGGGAGAGCCAGAAAAGAGAGGTAAACTGCTGAAGGGGTGGGGGAAGAGGGGAGCCGGGAAGGATGGAGATACCGACAGCGAAGGGAGTTGCCGAGAGGAATACCAGGCGTTAAGAAGCAGGGGTACAAGGTCCGTTGCAAGTTGAGGAGAACGTCATAAGGTCACACGAGATGGCGAAAGTTCGGAGAGCTGACAGACAGGGAGGCAAGAAACATCCTCACTAGTGCGAAAGGGTGGAGAGACCTGAGAGGGGACAGGAAAGAGGGTACATCCTCACTAGTGCGAAAGGGTGGAGAGACCTGAGAGGGGACAGGAAAGAGGGTCAAGAGTGGGAAGAGAGACGGGAGAGCAAGGAGAGCCGACGAAGATTCTGAGGGAAGGAAAACATTGAGAAGATGAAAAGGGGGGAACATTAGGAAGTGCAAAAGCAGAAGTAAAAACGAAAAGATAGGGGCGAAAAGATTTGAGAGTCTGAAAATAGAGCGGAGAAAAGGGAGGGAACGACTAGGCCAAAAGAAGGTATAGAAAGCTGAAGAGACGACGAAAGTGGACCAGGGCGGTGAGGCGGGAGGGAGAGCCTCAATGCCAGATATAAACAATGTCGGAGAATTGGAGCTACAGACTGCAAGACCGAGCGTACGCACAACGGAAACTGGATTTACAAACGCACTCCCACCTCTCGCGCCCGCGTCCTATTCCAAAAGTTTCAAAAAATAAAAAATTCCAACGATGCAGTTACCGTATAAAAACCGTCAAGCACGCGCTTTCTGCACTTCCCTAGATCGGAGCAGGAGATCATGTTGACATGATTAAAAGGATAAGACATGACTTCAAGCCTATTCATTAATCCCTATCGTCATGCATTTTAACACTGCTCTTTCTCCGGGGATAACCACTTCGTTCCTTGTTTCGTGCTCAGACACGCCGACCTTCCGAAGCATCAGTGTGTACAAGAGACCAGACCTTGAGAAGCCAGCGAGGACCTCATACCTGTGTATTAAAATGCCAAAACTGCTCTCTCTGAAGCAAGCTTCTCTTATAACCTTGTCCTAAGGCGATCCATTAATTCACTTGTTAACTATCCCATCTCCATTGCGGCCTTTGCACACCTAGTACTCAAGTTTGCTTGCCAGGATCAGTCGCCAACTTCGCCGGTAATGATGCCATAGCCCTTTCGAAACGTTTTTTCAAGAGCCAGCTTACTTCGTGCACGCCTCTCCAATGCCGCCATGCACTCCCACTCCCTCGACCTGAGGTAGCAAAGACACCATTTCCAAGAAAATGGGCAAATCACTTCCTGAATCATATCAAAATGAAGGACGTAATGTCCAATCAGTCGCATTCAACACTAAAAAAGCTGCTGTCCATGCATATCCACGAATCCCGCCGTTCGTTCGCGAGTGTATTAGAAACAAAAAACACATTTCGAGCGCTCTTCCACCGCTGCTGTCACTTCAAAGCATCGATATAATCGCTCGGTGAGAAAAGCACATCATCCGAAACAACAGTGTGTACTTATTCACAAGGAATCCACACAATCTCTATCATGATTCACCATGCGGCAACGTGCCAGTGGTCGCCTTCAGAAGGCACACGTATTCTTCCCTCAACCTATTCAAAACTACGGCTCTTCCTTCGTCCGATTTCCGAGACGACTCCACCGAATACGGCTTACTTAGATCACGTGGAAGGATCGCTCAACGTCATGAGAGCAGAGGAACTCCCACTTCATTCAACAACAAGCGCGCTCTTCATTCCGCGCCAATGACCAGTGCCAGACTTCGGAAACAACCTATCCCTACTGGGAAGTCCTATCAAAGCTTCTTACCTCTTCACTCCCAATCTTGGAAAACAAGACTCCTCCATATCTGGAAGGGAGACAAAACCAGTGCAAAAATATCCGCATCCATGCATAGTTTTCCGAGCGCTTCAGGCAGTCAAAAGTGTCCCTTCGAACAAGCCCATTCACGTGCACAGATAACAGTGGAGTCGATAAAGCTAAACACAAGCATGCACACTCTGAATCACGCATATCGTCAGAACGACCAACTCAAAACATCACAAAGTCCAGGGAACAGACGATTCATTAGACGCATTCATTAGACGATTCATTAGACGATTCATTAGACGATTCATTAGACGTTTCCCGAGCCACTTCAAGCAGTCAAGTTTTCGAATAAGCCCATTCACGTGCAAAGATAACAGTGGAGCCGAGAAAGCTCAACACAAGCATGCACACTCTGAATCACGCATATCGTTCGTCAGAACGACCGACTTAAAACATCAGAAAGTCCAGGGAACAGACGATTCCATTAGCCGTCAGAAGATATGGATGGGTGCATCATGCGTTCGTCCGTGCCTGCCCCCTCTTAGCCGACTGAAATGGCTCGCCGCAACCGGGCTTCAGTTACTCGGGGAACTAAGTGAAGCCGGAGGCGAACATGCCATTCCAGACGTTTCCGAAGCACACCGACGAGGAGGTGGGGAGCCGCGCGCTTCACAAGCAGTCATGCGTGCAAATACATCATGCATACATACACTAGTACACATTACGAACAGAATGACGAAGCCGAGCACTCCGACACAATGAATGCACACAAGCACCCCTTCGATAGCACGTCGTCCTGGTGATATCTAAGTCCGACGACAGACCATGACATTCCAATATTGCAGGCATACCGACGTAAGAAAAACACGCAGTACCGAACGTGTAAGCCCGATGCACTGTACAGAAAACAAGCAACGAGGAAAAGGGGAGAGCATAGAAACAAGCGGAAGCGAGAGTAGGGAAGATGCTAGGGAGGTGCACATTCCTTCGATAGCACGTTGTAGTAACAGATATTCGCAAAGACAGAACATAGCATTCAAATATTGCAGGCAGGCAGGCAAGCATATAAATGGTCCGTAAACTCAAATCCGAACCACGACGAAAAAACATCGGACAGTACTTCAGCGACGTCATTCAAAGTATCTCGCAGTACTTAACGCGTACGACCGATTCACTGCACAGACAATTAATTAAAGGAAAAGGGAAGAGATGATAGGAATAAGCAGAAGCGAGAGTAGGGGAGAAGTTAGGACGGAGGTGCACGTATGTGGACCAGAGGACAAACGAGAAAGGGAACAAACGGGAGACAGGGGGCACACGAAAGCGGCAACGTGTCAACGGGTAAATCAGAAACGCGTGAGAGAGAAGCGCGATCAACCGAACAGCACGACAGGTCGGATCATTAAGAAGATAGAAAAGGCTGATCAGACAAAAGGAGGATGAAAACGGACGACTTGAAAGGGGAGGGGCACAGAGAAACGGGGGGGGGGGGGGGGGGGGGGGGGATTGATCGTAATCGGGGGGTAAATAGAGAGTGCCAAAGGATATAAAGCGGAACGGACCCCTCGAACACGGGAAGAAACAACCAAAGATAAGCAAGGAGAACAAAGCAGGGCGTGGAAACGAAGGGCACGGAAAACGGATGGTCTGGAAAGAAGAAGACCACATAGACGACGGGGAAGTGGAAAACGAAGCGGCTACCGAAAGAACGAAATGAGAAACAACGAGAGTTCTGTTCTGAAGGAAGAGGACCACATAGACAAGAGGAAACGGAAAACGAAGAGGCTAAAAGAACAAAATACATTGAAAAACAATGAGAAAACAAAAAAGAGGAAAACAGGGAATCAGTAGAAACCAGAAAGGACAAGAACGAAAAGGACCAGAGAAAAAGCTGAGGAAAATAGGGAATCAGGGCAGTGAAGATACTATTGCCCTGTCGGTGAAGACCACACTCGCATGCATGTATGAAAACAAAAAACACAAACAAAAAAAAGCAGAAAAACACACCATCAGGTAAATAAGGGCTTCGAAAAAAAACCGTTCGCGATGAAGGCCCGCGCTTCGCTCCATCCGCAAGCAGTAATACTCCATGACAGCGATCTCGCAACATCTTCAAAATCGTAAGAATTCATTCGACACACGGCCGCTGCATGACGATAGCTGCACGGAGAAAGATGCCCTCGGCCACTCGTCTCGCCGACCCACCGTAAGATGTAAGGCAACACCGAAAACCTTTGATCGGTCAACAGGATGCACTTTCTGCCAGCCTGCCAGCCATTCGGAGCCGCTAAAATTGCACCATCTCAAAAATCCCGAATGAAGCCACATAACGCACGTTCTCCTCATATATGTACCACATCCATTCACCTTCTCAGATATGTACCACATCCATGCACCTTCTCAGATATGTACCACATCCACGCACCTTCTCAGATATGTACCACATCCATGCACCTTGTCCTCAGATATGTACCACATCCATGCACCTTCTCCTCAGTTATGTACCACATCCATGCACCTTCTCAGATATGCGCCACATCCATGCACCTTCTCCTCAGATATGTACCACATCCAAATAAGAATCAATGCAGCGAAACATCGATCCGATAAACGGGGTAGAAACAAAAGAACAAGCTTCGTCATTCAGACACACACAAGAGCGCACATCTTGTGCTGCCTGAGGCGCACATAGGAAACACACAGCCCACTCAGTACGCAACCACGTGGTAAAGAATCGCAGCACATGTAACGGCGAGATCTGAAGAAGCAAATCCCAAAACAGATCGGATTAAAAAAAAAGGAAACTCTACGATTGCCGTGCGAACGCAGCCATCTTTTCAAGCTCATCCCACACCTGGTTGAGACGGGTTGAGCGACCGAACGAGTTATCTACCGAGAATCAGTCAGTTCACGCAGCATTTCGCCCGGACGAGAGAGAGGGGACCAGAAAGCAGACATGCTATTGCGTCGATCGGATTAGTTACGTGCCAATTCACGGCACGAGGACGCAGATACAGGTCGTGTGAAGACCACGTGCCAGTCACTGACTGACGTTCAGCCAGGTACGCCGAGACCGACTGCGTGGGAAGAAGTGAAGTCGACCACCTGAGGTTGTCGGAAGAGGACCGTACTCGCAGTAGCAGCCCCCCGAGAGCTCCGTACAGAGGACTTCAAAGAAAACTTGATGACCAAGACGGAAGGAAAGAACACGAATCCGAACAAGAAAAAGAAAACAAGTATGCAGCCAGGCAAAGAATCAACTGCAACGACCTGCGCAAATGCAGAATCGATCTGGCCGCCAACTCCTTGTCATCATAACCATACTGTTGCATAACAGTAGCGCGTGCCATCTCCCCAACTGAGAGAATGACGCGAACAATTGCTATAGCATTATAAGATAGCAACTCGCTGTGTGGGGGGGGGGGGGGAAGAGACCTCAATCCACCGAAAGAGGAATTGGTCTCTGAAATCGGGATCAACGGCGCGCGGACGCACAAGTGCACACTTGCGACATGCCCACGGCTTTTATTGTTCATCACTAAATCAAATAAATTGGGTCTTGTTGTTATGAAGTAATCAGTACTGTAATGTAAATCAGCGAATGTCAGCCCGATCGATCGATAGATCGACCTCAGATAACGGGGAACGTTTAATAATTATATAAACTCAAATCAAGGAGCAAATTTACAGCGTGGACTAAGAGCGAGGGGACATACGGCGAAGCGAGAGAGGTGGTAAGTAACATCAAATGAAATCGGAAGCGCACTCAAAATGACTGTAACCGGCTACTACTACTGTCGAATCGCAGAAAACAAAACATCTTTATCGGTTATTGCGCGAATTACGTGCATTTTACGTCAGGCGTCGTAACGCGATGTTTGCGATCAAACAGCGCTCGTGAAAGTAAGTTGGTTGACACATAAGACGAAAAAATCAGATGCGGAAATGCAAATCAGATACCATCCCTATCTACACGTATACATTACCTGGCCACGCGACCAATCGCGTTAGCTCCATCCAACACAGCCCATAGGATATTGAACAGATAAGCGACACTGAGATGATCCTCAGATAAGAACGGAGCAGAGGGATTCGCACAAAAACTCGCATCGTGATGAGAAGGACCGAGAACTCTGCAGGCCCCCATTTCCCTGTCCGTCATTTGAATCACGTTGCAGTTCCACCCCCTCCCTGCCTCTTCGCTCGTTCCACTTCGACCACCACATCCTCTTGTCCTGCCTCTTCTCTCGTTCCACTTCCAGCACCAAATCCTCTTGCCCCGCCATGCTGCTCGGACCAACGATCAACCAAGCCTTTGGCCATCTAGGGCCCCACTTCTTGCTTGGAAAACAAACCCCCCAACAATATTCATTCCCTGAACAAAAAACCCGCGACCCTCCCCGCGGGTAGAAAAAGTTGCTTGCTTATATTCGGAGCCCCCTCTTCGTGACTGTCGTCGCAGGACAGATGAGCCAGAGCCGAGACAACCTCGGCTCGAGGCGAAGAAACGCATCGTCTACCACTACTCCCGTTAATGATGCCGCTCGCGAAACGAAGAGGGCGAATATGGCACAGCTTAGGTAACACCTAACTTCCAGAGGGACGCACATGCACGCCAAAGGCACAGGAGCAAGCCAACATCTCCCCGATGACAGTCGGTCCATCAGAAATCAACGGGGCACCACGTCGAGCGCTCAAGCCATCTCCCTGCAGAGATCCGCGGGGAACAACGACATTTACAGCGAACCATTGCACTTACTACTAGTTCATCAACTGGACCGCGTCTGGTCTTCGGAGACTCCGCCGCCGCAAATGCATATTCGTGAAAGACCAGGCGCTGCCTACAGTGGCCACACAAAAGCAGGCAGGCAAAGACCATCATCCCTTCTAGCTGCTTTCGGCATCCATCGTCGCAACGCTTCTCGCCGCCATTTCGCTAGCATATGCCCGCATGAACACAGATCACGCTGCCGCTGCTGCGCAATCGCCGGTGACGGCACCTACCTATCTGTCCTCCCTTCACAGCGACCCATTTCCGTTTCGACGACTACTAAAGCGCCACCCGCTGATCTCCCTGCTGCCATCCACGCGCACCTACCTGATGTTGTTAATGCAACGAACGCCAGAGGCCTCCCCCTTGGGTTTGCTGGCTCGCTTACCCGACTCTGGAGCTCCAAACACCTTCCAGAAGCGGAGCGTCTCATCGGCAGCTCCGGAGACCACGGAATACCCGTCCGGACTCTGAGCGAGGTGAAGCACTCGTGCAGTATGACCCGTCAATTCTGCCATCTTCGCCATAGTCGGGTACTTCCATAGGCAGAGCTGATTTTGGCTATATCCATGAGAGCTGAGGATCTCCTTCTCATGCCTGGACCACTGAAGCGCGCAGACCTGCGAGTGAGTGTCAATACTGTTCAGGCACACGCCCGTGTGAGTGTTCCAGAACTTGATGCACCGATCTGCCGTCCCGCCACCCGAGGCCAGCAAGTTGCCCTGAAAAGGACACCAGGCTAAAGCCTTGACGGCCGCCAGATGCTGATCGAGGCGGTGCAAATATCTGGAAGCGTTGGACTGAGCAGACGAGACGGCCGACGCATCCCACACGTACAACATATTATCATTCCCGCCGCTTGCCAGCTGCTGCCCGGAAGGCGACCATCTCAATCCACAAACCTCCTGCTCATGCGCACAAAACCTAGACACTAGGTGTTCCCTAATTCTAACATCATGGTTTATGATAGAATTGTCTCGACCACCGCTGCTGAGCAGGTGGCCGTTCCAGGCCAGACTGCCAACCCGTGCACTGTGCCCACCCATAGTCCTGATCATCTTCAATCGCGTCGCATCCCATAACTGCACATTGGTGCTGTTGAGCCCGACGGCGATATGCCGCCCGTCCGAAGCCCACGACACACTGGTGACGTAATCATCAGCCGCTAAGGGCTGCGTCAGCTGCTCTATCGTGCCCGTACCGGCATCCCACAGATAAACAACCGCCCCAAGCGCCACCGCCACTACGTTATCCCCGCTCCAATCCAACAGGTTAAGATAGTAGTCATCCAGGAGATCCGGTGCATCCAAAATCCTCTCCGGCGCCTGCGGAATGTGCCGAAAAGACCTCCTAGACTTCGTCGTCGAAAAGCCGTTCTGGGAGTAAAGCACAGCGTTCTCAAATCCCATGTCCACAGCTGCCGCCGGCGGAGCCTTACTCTTAAACGTCAAAATTTTCGTGTGCTCGCCAACCACATTCTCATTTAGCAAATTCTCTGACAGATGCTTCTTGTAATCCTCACCCTTCCCGCATGGCGACGCAACCATCGCCCCAGTCAACGAACCACCGGAAGAATTCTCCTTCGTTTCCATCATCAGGTTCAACCGCGCAACATCAAGATTCATCGCACTCCTGTTCGGAATGAAACGATCGCACTGCACACAGCACACGAGACAGAGAATCAGTATATATCGTAACAATAACGTGATCTTTATTCTCTTTTTTTTTTTTTTTTCCCGAACCCGAGGTAGTGGTAGGGGTGCTGGTAAGAGCAGACACCTCTATCACTCTCGTGGAGGCTCCATCTATTGGTGACGTGATCTTTATTCTCCACCTGAAAAGTTCGCTGTAATTCCCGAAATATTTCCCATATTTACCACATACTGAGAAAGAATCTAGCAGACATCGAAATCGTGCACACTAAGGTCTCGAAGCATGGCAAATGCAAAAGCAAAAATTACAAGGTATAAGGTCGTACTCAATTACACAATGCCGATTCCTCCAATTCACACACGACATCCAAACTGGGTTACCTCCTCTCGACTTCTCGTCCTCAGTTCCCTCTCCCACTTTTTCCTACGTCCCCCTTCCCATACGCTCAATTCATCACTCACAGTACCGCCGTCCCAATCCCTCAAAGTTAGCCCCACCCCCCACAAATGCGAAAGCACCGCAAAAACTCGTACTCAATCACACAATGCCAATTCCTTCAATTCACACCCGACAGTCAAACGAGGTTGCCTCCTCCCGTCTTCCTTGTCCACAATTCCATGTCGCGCTTTTTCCCATTTCCTCCTTACGTACACTCAAATCCCACACTCACAGACCCGCCTTTCTACTCGCTTATACTTATCCCCCACCGCCCCGAAATTCCGAGCGTCCACTAGATTCGCTCTCAGCTCTTCCGTCATATCACCTCTCCCATGCCCCCTGCCTCCATCCCATCCCCCGGGTGCACACACTCACTCGGACTCCATTCACTCGTACTCAGAAAGCTAGCACGCTTTCGCTCTCGCAGCTCTCCTCTCGCCTCTTCCATGCTCCCTGCCGCCAGCCCGTCCCCCCGGTGTACAACTCACTCCAGCTTTATCCACTCGTGCATAATCACACTTATTTTCTGAAACTGGCACACTTTCACTCTCCCACCTCTCCTCTCCCCCACTCTCATCCTCATCGTCTGTCCCGCTCCGTCTCCCCGCACCTCTCCATCCCATTCACTACTCGTGCCCCCCTCCACCCTCTCTAATTAATCCCCTAGCTCTCCCGATTATCCCTCCCGGCTCTCCCCTCCACCCCTCCTCCCCTGTCCATACACCGTCCCTACTTCACCGTCTCTCCTCCCCTTGCCTCCGATCTCTCCTGTTTCTGCTCTCCCTTCCACTACCGTCTCTCTCGCCCATCCATTCTTTTCCCTCCCGTCCCTTATATCTCTCCGTTCCTCTCCCCACCATCACTCTCTCCACTTCGCGTACACCCTCTCACATATCTCTCTACCTCCTCGCCCATCCCCCCCGCTCTTCAGCTATATTACTGCCTCATGCTGTCCCGTGCCCTTCAATACTGCTACTTATGCACTTCCCCTAGACACTGCGTTTCCTCCCATACGCAACCTCTTGACGACCCCCTCACCCCTCCCGCTAGGCCTAATCACTACTAGCTCCCCGTCGGCAAGAAACTGAGAAGATGAGGGAAGGAGGAAAGAAGAACGAAGATACGAGATACCATCCATCGACATTCGACTTACCTGCGGCGTCCCCTTCCGGATAGGGGGTGAAGTGAGAGCTCTCTTGAGGAACGGCGACGACGCACGCTCATCCATCATGCGTCTCTCGGCTCCACGCCCGGACATGCAGTTCGACTTGAGAGGCGTGTTGGAAGCCATTCCTCGCTTTCTGATTCTCCTACCGACAGCCAAACCACGTCTTAGACCCCAGTACCAACAGCCACAACGAGCTCCAAAAGAGCTCGTTGAACGAGAAGCACGATGGATCCCCGTCTCCCACAGTGTTTGACACGTCACCAGAACATACGAGTCGGCAGTGCAGCAGCGAGTTCGTGAATCAAACGATTCACCGAAAACAGCTTTCTCGACAGTATGTACGAGCAACTTCAGCCCCGCCAATAGCAACAGATAAACAACGTCACAAAATTTTAAAAAAAATCAAAGGTACGTCGACAGAAATTGAAAAAGAAGTATTACAATGAAAAAATGTGATAGCAAAACATGATCTTCAAAGAATAAAACTATGAATCAATTTGAATGATCAAAACAATCCGGCGAACAACAAACGAAATAAATCGAAAAATAAAGCAACAGAAGGCAATCAAACAGGAAGAAATCAACAAATTCAACGCGACAAGTAATCAATGAATAAAGATACGGCCAGATCAGATGTACAAAAAAAAAAAAAAAGATAATAAAAGCTGAGACGAAATGAAACCGAAATCCAGCAGATCGGGGGAAGAACAGCGTAGATAAACCCAATGGCCCGCGAATTGACATCCAAGATAAATCAAAAATGAATACGAAGCAAAAAAACTGGGAGGATTCCACAATGAACAGATTGTGCTGCAGGCGCTTGAATGAACCAGTGCAAATGATTGTCCAGAAAATAGTGACGAGCAATGACTATAGGATATGCTCAAGAGTGCAAGCGATATTTCAGCAAATAGTGAGGAGAATGGTTATAGTATAATCGAAGATGATGTACGGAACCTCTTCATAAAATAAGCTAAACACAACATGCGCGCAGTGGTTTCTCGGAAATGCACCCAAACAAACAGTATAAAAAACAAAAAAGGAACTGTAAAAAGTTGAAAACCAATCTTCCTTCCACCCGCGGCTTCCAATGGTTCCTGCACACATATACCGATCCTTCGGTAGCAACCCCCCACGAAAGAAGATGATACCGTTAATCACCACCAACACAGCAACACAGCGTTCGCTTGATGCGTGCCTTCACGTAAGGCACCTCCGTATTGCCTCGACAATCGAATAGTAGAATGCAAACACCTAGCAGAAGCAAAACACCGAATGCCGCAACGCGATAGTCATCCAGGAAGAGAGAGAATGGTAGCCAATGTACAATTGTTCCGAGTGCCAACTTGTAATATCGAATATCGAATTCGCAAAGCAGAATGTGTGAACCACTGTTTTTTTTTCTCTAACTTAAACCATTTATCGATCTATGCATGTCATTCTTGGGCAGGCGCTATGCTAATCTTCTCTGAAGCGTTCCAATTTAACGGATGTCTCATCTCAATGGACGTGTATACCACCGTCGTGCCTAGCGGTAGGGAAGCACAAGCGGCAGGCAGGCACGCTGGTGGCCCGCCGTTGCATCGAACCGCGCAGAAAGGCACGAGGCGGCAAGGGACGTCGCCTGGGCACAGAAGGAGAGAGGTATGGGTGAGCGCGTTCGACCGCAGTCCAAGCCCCGGGGGGGGTTACGACGGTGGCAGGAGGGGCCCAACGGACCGCGCGAGTCGGCCCCTACAACCACGAAGGCGGCGCGCGGCGACGCAAAAGCCCCGGCGCAATCTCCCGCCAAGGCGCGGGCCCAAGACGGACAAGGCGGGAGAGTAGAGAACGGCGGAAAAAGAGAAAACGAAAAACAAAAGACCAACAACGGCTAGAAACATGTCGGCGGCGGCGATTTACACGTCGAGTTGATTGGGAGATCGCGGATGTGATCGCATGGCTGCAGATTGCTCCCGCGCTAGATCTCTCCAGCCTAGCTACAACTGACGGCGAACGGCCCGAGGCGATCTGACGGCCACAAATCCACCGTGCGTATCCCATCCAGTCCTGGAAGACACCGTTCGCACGGCTTCTAGGCCAAGGTGCATTGGTTTCTGGAGTTTTCCTCAGCGATGCATCATTCCGAGAACTCGAGATCCGTCTCCGTATCCTACCGTTGTCCTCGCGAAGGTAGGCCCACGCATTCTCATTCCCTCATGATGCGTCTCGCTTACGGGGATTTTAGGCCTGATGGGGCGCAAGTAGTCCGACCCTAACGCATCAGGCGGGTTCAGATTCTGGTTTGACGAGATTTCTGGGTATCACTCCCAGCAGTAAGTCCAGCGGGTCGTCAATGGACCGTTTGTTCAAAAAACCATGAATCCACAGCATACATATGGGGCAGCGGGAGAAGGATAGATGATCTATTGACTGGGGGAAGGGTCAGAGAAGGGTTGGTTAGCATCCACACAGCAAACAACCCTGTCTCAGATCACAAACCAGTGATCGGAACCGACCAGACTCGGGGTCGTGGGTATTTTACTGTAAGCGCAGCCAGGGCAGAGGGGTTGTAGCGGGGATGAAGTTTTGAGTGTTGTAATGTGTTGTTTTATAGCAGGCCAGTCATGAGTTTTTGCATTATCTCTATTTGAACATTGGTCAGTATTTCAACATTTCACATTGCTATACGTGCTGAGGTATGGTCTTCGGTTACAGACCAAAGTTCGAATCCAGTCCAGAATCCATTGCTTCAGAACACCTCCAAAGAACAAAACGAACAAGGAAAAAAGAGGAAAAAAAATGAACCCAAGGAATGGCAAGCCAACATTGAATTGTGAATGGTGCTATGAAGAAGAAAACGATTTAATTTTTTTTTAGAAAAAAAAAGAAATCGACATGGCCTGCGAGGAAAGCGGGTCCAGCATCCCATCATACATTTTATAGAGCATGAAATAGTGAGAGACACAGTTGCGAGCCTTCTATTACATTGTTCGCTGGGAAATATGCCATAGTACTTAGAACTTTTGAGTTTCAAGCTTCAACAATCAGTTCCCTCCTTAGTTAAGGTAGTGAATGGTTGCGTGACGCCCTCTTATCTGATAAACTGTCTACGCCATAAACCCCTTTGGTCCCATAACCCCCTCTGTTCGGTATCTATTAGTCCGTTGTTCCCTTTCCCCTGTCCATCTTCCTTCGTATGTTGTATTTTGTTCGTCCTGCTGTCTGCTTGCTGACCATTATCCTTAGGCCGTTAAGTTCTTCATTTCTCCCTGGCCCTGCGGCGTAGGCAGACCATTCATTTGACCCCGTGTCTTACCTGTGTTTGGTGACTGTTGTGCTTTACTCAGAACATCCCACATGACTGAATGGGGTTTGACTGACGGGGGAGGAGGGGCAAATAGGAGAGAGGGCAGTGGAGGGGAGAAAGGAAACCTGGCTGGCGGCCACCGCAGAAACCGCTATACACCTACCTATCAAATCCATTCCTCCAGAACATGTCTCCAAATAGCAAAGAAAAGCAAGCATAGTTACGGAGCACAGAACCTCCATGCAAAGAGCACGAACCTCCATGCCAAGCAGAAACCGGTCCTTGCCTAAGACCGGTCACCTCACAACCTCAACCCAGACTTGAATCGTTCGTCGACTACACCCTCATTTTCGCTGCATGTGAACTGAAACATAACTTGTATCCGTTCATTATTGGTATCGATATCGAGGTGCGTTATGCTCGGGGGAAAACCATTCAACTCACAAGGCACATAAATGAGATTGAGTAGGTCAGCCCACCATGATATTTCCCGAAAAAGAAAACCGACCCTTACAACCCAGGTAAGCGCAGCCT